GGAAAGAAAAAGGGGGGGGAAAGTCCAATGTCATAATCTGAGTGACTTATCCCAATGCTTGAGAGGCTCTTGCCCTCTTTGTCCTCGGGCAAGATCTGAAGAAAAAGAGAATGGAGAAGAACAGTGGGTCTATCTTTTGAGGAAAACTCTAGTTTTCCATACGTTGAAATCTGTTTCTATTTCTAGGGAAATCACTTTTACTTCTGGTGAGAGTTGACACAGTATAATGGTGTTTAACCACAAAATGGCCATTGCACAATTGCAGCATCAGGTTAAGGACTAAGAACTGATTTTGAGGTTTGTTGCTGGGTGACTGTGAGAGAAGAAAATCTGTATCTTGACAGTACTAGGTCTTGATCATGTGTTTTAGAAATAGTAACTTTGAAATGCCTAGGTCCTTGGTGAAAAGATCTAATCCAAAGGTTTTGGAAAAGGGCTTTTCCTACTTTGATACTAGCATATCTCTTGTGAGATTTTAGAAGGCTCTTGTGTGCATGCACAGGAGGAATGTGGTGTTAGCTGGAGGACATGTTGTCAAACTCCAGTTGAGTGCTCTGACCAGTAAGCAGTGATTTGGGAGGAGAGACCCTTGTATGTTTAGATTGTGTTGTTAAGTATTTCATTAATACCCTAATGAAAGATACAGATTATTATGAGGAAGTCCAGTTGGGAAGCAGGAACTTTTAGCACTTCTCCCTTCTTTCCCAAACTTGAGTTACTTTCCACAGAAGCTGAGCTGTCTCCTAGGAGCATTGTCCTCTGCTCTCCATGTCAGCTGCCAGAATATAGCTGTTCTTGTGAGTAGCATCCTCATGCTAAGTGTGGCTAAAGTAGCCTTTTCTAAAAAGTGAATAGAAAAGACAGGGGGTGGATGAGGGGCAGAATAAAGGGTGGTTCTGCAGGCTGTCTGACATGATCGGCTCTGTGAAATGGAACGCAACAGCCTTTGGACAGCCTGACTATAGTCATGTTGGCAAGAGGAAGAAAGTTCTGACAGTGTCTGTGTGATATATCTGGTAAGAAATAGTAACTCCTGTGTGCTGAGCAAATTGTGGAGGGTGGGGGGTGGAGGAGATGGGAAGAAAGGAAAATTACCAGAAGTTTCTAAGAAGGGGTTGTGGCATTTTTTACTGCCTTTTGTCCTAGTAGCTCCCTGCTGCCTGCTGAATGTGGTTCTGCAGTGCCTGTTGCGTTACTACTAATACAGTGGGTTTTCTGTTATTTCCTTCCCCTGAAAGACTTCAAATATCATTTTCCCCAATCATATGGAGGAGAGGGGGAAACAAATGAATAAAACCCAGGAAAGCTCTGGGTAAAGGAGCTCTCAGATTTCTGTTTACATTGTTCGCCTGTAATGCTTATTCTCTCTGATTAAATGCATGTGCTATTCTCTGTAATTTTCTGTATCAGTATGAAAAAGAAATCCGTTACAAAACAGTAACTGATAAGTTTAGTAATTGGACTCCTGGTTTTTCTCTGGAACTGTATTTTACAGTCTGGATGTTAATTTATCAGCATCAAAATAACTTCCCTCCAAGCTGTTTTTTTTCCCATTAGTTCTCAGGCATAAGATTTTGTTCTCAAGGAGTCTGCATACACAGTTGGGAGAGTTCCCAAGTGTGTCTCTCTCTGGGGGGCAGCATTTTTGCTATTTTTAGCATGATTTCTTTGAGTCTTCCATTTCCTTTTTGTGAGAAACTTTACAAACTGGAAAGAGATTGAACCATACAGTAAATGGATCTCAAAGTTACATGGGAAGCTTTCACTCCCCTACCAAGAAAGCTATAACCACTGTCTGAGCATTTTTGCCAAACTTTCTGGTAGACTGAGCTACCCTGAGTAGCTGAAGAGACATCAGCCTGGCACAGAATTACTGCATCTTAGAAACAATTGGTGTAGGGACACTCTGTATACTGTTTATTTTCACTGTGTCTGGGGTCTTCATTTTCATCAATTGATAAACTTCATCTGGCCATAATAACACTTGATGGTTTATTGGCTCTCTACTGAATTATAATCCAGAAGGTGTGATGGGAGAAATTTGAACATGTGCTGCAGGGAGAAAGAAAAACTGCATTAACTGGTGAATGTTTAAATGAGGAGGAGAGATTTCTTAGTTCAGAGAATTCATGGAACGTAGAAAGGCCCTGAATTTCATAGGGCACATGGATGTAGGGCTAGATGATGATCTGGGAATGGCAGTAGGGTTGTTGAAATAATTAGCATGGGAAGTGTTCAGATGTAGGCAGATGTAGGTGACTGAGAGTGGTCTGAAGTCAGTGGCCTCACATCTGGCCTACCCTTCAGCTGCCTTTTTGGAAGGGTGCAGAGCTCCTGAAGGGCCTGTGCCATATCTTCCAGCTTTGTGTGGGTGCCTGGTGCCTCAGAACTAACTGAGCCTGAATTGAACCCTCTGTCTGGGGAGTCTCATGCAGGAGAGGCTTTCTTCAGCTCCCTGAAAATGTGACTTGGGAACATGCATGAGGTCAGCTGTTTAGGATGTGGGCTGCCCCATGTTTTGAGGGATCTTGCGTTTTTCTTGAAAGTGTCCAACAATCTGCTTGTGAGCTGCCTCCTCACAGATATGGGGCTTGCTGAGTCAGTGGGCAGGGCCTGTATCTGCCTCATGTCAGGACTGATTGGCAGAAGCCAAGTGAGGACCAGGAAGGTGTGTGTAAGGCATGTTTAGCAACTGGGTCTGTAGAACAAGGGAGCATAACCTCTGCCTTCTCCTGTTTTAAGCTTTTGTCATATAAGTACTTTTAAGGGGAACAAAAACAGATCCAGAGTTTTGGGGGTTTTTTGATTGCTTTGTTTTTTGTTTGGTTGTTGTTTTTGTTTTTGTTTTTGTTTTTTTTTTTCCCTAGGTTGAGGGAGTATTAGATGGGAGCACTGATATTGGGGAAGAGTTGGGATTTGGATGCTTGCTTCCTACCATTCTGCCATTGTGTGTTCATGTGATCACATAGGAGGCAGATCTGAGTCCAGCTGTAATGTGAGTCTGAGTGCTCACCAGGGTGGTGGTCTCAGCATTCCTCTGAGCTCTGGCCCCAGCTCTGAGGAAGCTGGGAACACTCAGAAATTTTCCCCTTTTGTGCTTCCTGTGGCATTCAGGCATGCTGCGACAGCTTCCTCTACTGCATTCTTCCCCGGGGGAGCATCTAAAATACTCTTTTTTTTTTTTTTTTTCTGTATAAGGAACTTGAAACTGCTTTGTTCTTGCATGATTTGGAAAGATTGTGTTGTTGTTTTTAACTGACAGGCTATAACTTCTCCTACTGTCTTGGTCACTCTTGCTTACTGTTTCCCTTCCAAAGCCTGAGTCAGGTGGTGGTTGTGAAATCTGCCTGCTAGATCAGTGTCTATACATATATATTCTGTGTTGACCAGGGTAGTGGAAGGAATTTTGTTCTCTGAATCATGAACCTATAAATAAATAAATCCTTTAAATAGTTACTTGGGGGTTTTTTGAATAATCTGGCCTTCCCACCTCATCCTCTTTTTCAGAATATCACAGGATTGAGCTATTATAATGACATTTTATAATGTAAAATCAGCATTTCATTCTCGTAAGCCTCTCTGAAGATAACATGGTTCTGCAGGTCTTGAAACCAAATTTAAAATGTTGTCCTGCTGGATTGACAATTTAGACAAAAAGGCACAAGTAGTGATGTAGTGGATATATCCACTACATTTTTACTTAAATGTTGCTGAAATGTACAAAATGTACAAAAGCTGTCCTTGTAGATAAATGTTTAAAAAGTCTCCAAAAACCTATAACCTGAAACACCCACCCCAAACAAAACCAAAACAACCCCCCAAGCCCCAGCTAACCACACTATCTCTGATGGAACTAGGGAGTTGAAATTATTGTCTGACGCAAGAGAATGCTGGAGCTGAGCAGGAATTGTCTCATACGCATTTGATGGAGGATGGCTGTGAGGAGGAACAGTAGGACTTTAGAAAGGAGGAGAAAAAACTGTAAGAAGCTCAGGAGGAACTTGAAAGTAAATGCTGGCCGGAAGGTGCAGAGGAGAACAAGCAAAATGGTTTCATGTTGTTGTTTTGGATCTTGTGGTATTCAAGGAAACAGGGTTTTGTAACAGCATCTGCCAATCAACTGAAAGGTCTGGAAGAACCTGGGCTGCAACAGTCTCTTCTTTTCAATAAGGGCCTGTCCTAGCCCCCAAGGTCTGGCTGGCTGGAAATGATAATAGTATCAATCAGGCTTGGTCTGTCAGAGACAGGAATGATCCAGGTAAAGTGCAGTCACTGAGGTGTGATTCTTGGTACTTTCTGTAACCAAAACTCAATCTAGCATTTTTGCACTGTTGTTATCCTGTTAAATTACATTGCCCTGAGAAATACTCATGCTGGTTTAGCAAGAACTACTCTGACATGACTGGTGATGCTGTGTAGATAATATGTAGCTGAAGGAAGCCACTTGAGAATGCTGAGCAAATAAGCACCTCAGAACAATAAATGAAACTTAATGAAATGTCACAAATAATATAAAAAAACCCCAGTTGGCATACAAGAAGCAGAAGTGGAGAAGAAAACAGACAGTAGCACTGCAAGATGGTAATGCAGCATATGGATCTTCAGCCACGTGATAGTCCTATTTATGACAGTATAGGTTGAAGTAAATTCCTGGCCAGAGAGACCTGTGTGGAAGAAGTGCTGAACTGTGAAATCCTGCCTTCTGGGTTGGTTTTCTTGGTATAGAAAAGGAAGACATGAATAGTAAAGCAGTCAAATTAATCTGTAAGTCTTTGTTATTGAAAATAATTACATGGCTGATAAGAACCCTTAAATCATCACATCGAGTGCTCCAAACTAACTGAAACCATATATTCACAAGGGCAGACAAGAAACCCCTCTGAAGGGGCAAGTTGAGGCAGGGAGGCAAAACCTCAGCTTAGTTATCGGTGGTGCGTTTCTCTAGGCCTAGGTCCCTTCTGCCTAGGCCTTAGTTCCAGTCATTAAGCTGCATCTCCCACCTGAAAATGTCAGCCTCTGGTGTAAGGATCCATAATCTCAAAGTGATGTGTTTTGGCTGGCTCTGTGGCGGTAGGTAGAAGCTGAAGTTGTGTGCCTCCAAGGTTCTTGAGCCTCTGTCAGGCCAGCTGTGCTTCAAAAACACCAGGAAAGGAGAAAAACTGATTAAAAGCAGCTCTGAGGAGAGGAGAGACTTTGGGTGTTTGGTTGATGAGAAACTCAACATGACCTGACAGTGCACACTTGAGCCCAGAAAGCCAACTCTAAGCTCCATCAAAAGCAGCGTGGCAAGCAGGTTGGGAGAGATGATTCTGCCCTTCTGCTCCACTTTTCTGAAACTCCACTTGGAGTACTACGTGCAGCTCTGTGGCCCCCAACATGAGAAGGACATGGACCTACCTGTTAGAGCAGGTCCAGAGCAGACCATGAATATGCTTGGAGGACTGGAGCACCTCTCCTATGAAGACAGGCTGAGAGAGCTCGAGTTGTTCAGCCTGGAGAAAAGGCTGTGAGGAGACCTCATTGCAGCCTTCCAGTACCTAAAGGGGGCTACAGGAGAGCTAGAGAGGGACTTTTTACAAGGGCGTGCAGTGATAGCACAAGGGGGAATGGCTTTAAACTGAAAGAGAGTAGATTTAGACTAGATATTAGGAAGGAATCCTTTACTGTGAGGCACTGGAACAGGTTGCCCAGAGAAGTTGTGGATGCCCCATCCCTGGAGGTGTTCAAGGCCAGGTTGGATGGAGCTCTGAGCTGGTCTAGTGGAAGGTGTCCCTGCCCATGGCAGGACGATTGGAACTAGATGATCTCTAAAGTCCTTTCTAACCCAAACCATTCTATGACTCTATGAAAAGTGACCCTATAATAAAGCATTATGAGGATATTTTTTTTTCCCCCGAATCGCAGAATAGTTAGGGTTGGAAGGGACCTCTGGAGATGACATTGTCCAAGTCCCCTGCCAAGGAAGGGTTGCCTAGTGCAGGTTACACAGGAACATGCCCAGGTGGGTTTTGAATGTCTCGAGAGAGAGAGACTCCTTGACCTCCCTGGGCAGCCTGTTCCAGTGCTCTGCCACCCTCAATGTAAAGAAGTTCTTCCTCATGTTGAGGTGAAACTTTTTATGTTTCCGTTTAGGGCCATTACTCTGTGCCCTGTTGCTGGGCACCACTGAAGAGAGTCTGGCACCATCCTCTTGGCACCCTCTTGGCCTTTGAGATATTTGTATGTATTGATGAGATCTCCTCTCAGTCTTGAAGAGTAGACAAAACAGGCCCAGCTCCTGCAGTCTCCTCTTAAGAGAGATGCTTCAGTCCCCTGGTCATCTTTGTGGCTTTAACTTGGCATTTTAATAGTTCCAGAACAAAGAACTTGTCTAGGTTACCAGGGAGTATAAATAAGATGCAAAGAATATGTACGGTCTTGTATTTCTTGTTGCTTAAAAGCAGAGAAGTGCAGAGAAACAAGACAGAAGTTTAACAGTCCTCGAAGAGATTTGTTTCCTGAAGATTTTGTTTGGAAAAATAGTTACACTGTGGGGTTTTGGGTTGTATGTTTTATAACTTCTTTTTATGTCAAATGGAAGGAGTGGTATTTCATCTTTTCTTATGTTTTTGTCAGGCATTGAGGGCTACGGGTGGGTTCTATGTTGGCAGTTGCTATCCCTGAGGTTTTTGGTTGGTTGGTTGGTTTTGGTGTGGTTTTTTTTTGTTTTGTTTTGTTTTTTTTTTTTTTTTTTTTTTTTTTTTTTTGTTTTTTTTGGTTTTTTTTTTTGTTTTGTTTTTTTTTTATTATTACATGTTTTAATAAGCTGGATTTCTTTTTACTACGTGCTTTTTCAAGCTGGATATTTTGACATGCTTGTAGTTTGATTCCAGTGGCTATAGTGAAAGTGTCAAAGGACAAGCAGTATTTCGAAGGGCAAGAACTTCTGTAACACATCTTCTCTGAACACTTTTCTTGCCAGCTATGGAAAGAGCTTGTTTTTTGAACAGTTACCCAATCCTGGCTTTTTTTTTTTTTCAGTTCAGCTATGTTTACCCTATGGGTGTTTGGGATGAGGAGCTAGAAAAACAGAAAGAAAGAATTCATGTTTGCTGCTAGGTATGCTTTTGACAATTTGCTGTGTCATGTCCATTGATTTGCTTAGAGCTGTTGGTAGGAACTGGGAAAATGGAGATACAAAACCAAACTCTTTGAAGTACATCTGTATAGCAGTACAGTCTTCTAAATGAAGGTGGCTGAAAATCTGATTTCTTCTATTCACTGCATTTATGCATAATACTAAGTTGCCATTTACTTTCTGTGTGCCATTTGATCCCCAGAAGACTCTGAGTGGGTGGAATGTGTGGGACTTTGCCTGTTCTGCCAGAGCTGATGGTGTGTCTTCTGTGACTGATAAATCAAAGTAGCAGCAGCATCCCACCAGACCTTGATGCCTCTTGCTAGTCATGCTCTAGTCACAAAGCAAGCTTACTGATAGCTTCACTGGGTTTCCTGCCTTCTTGCCAAAAAACACTCTCTAGTTACTTGTATTGCTAGTAAATAGAGAAGACCACTTACTGAGTAGGTGTTAAGTTTCAGTGCAGGTTATGAGGGTCTGACACGACTTTTCTTACTACTGCCTTGCTAGCTCCTAAATTGCCCAACACTCTTAAAAGTGTTAGACAATTTAGAAAGGTGTATCATAGCTAGCTCTTCTCAGTAGAAGAAACTTCTTACTTTTCTTTGAAAAGTAGTTCTTCAGCTTCACTCTGTGTGTCTTAGAGCTCTTGAGTTACTAGAGTCTGGATTGAGTCTGTATCAGCTAATTGGTTCAAGCAAGTGTAGCTCAGAATGATTGAACTTGCATAAGTGGGAGTCTGTAAGACTTTGAGGTCTCTGGAAAAGCCAAGTTTGTCATGTGGAGTACTTCTGTCACTATATAGAATAGGATGACTTGAAGAGTGATCAAGTGGTTTGTTTTGGTTTTTTCTTTTTTTTTCCTGCTGGACTCTGCAGAGAAGTTGTTTGTGGTGCTGATCTCCTCTAAAGCCAGTAAAAAAGATGACAATACTTTCAGCTAACCTACCACATCTAGAGTGAAAATACGAAGTGTGCTTAAGAGAGAGGCTTTCCAACGAGACAGGGCTAATAAGTCTTTGCAGTTCTGCCCAGCCAGTGGTAAATTAACTGAGTGCTTGTTCTGACAAGTCCCATGATACAGATGAGTCATTCTTAAAGGATAAAAAAATCTGCCCAGATATTAGATTCTGTTGGGTTCAATGGTCCTGACCAGTGCCAAAAGCCAGAGGTTATATAGCTTGGCAGGATAAAAAAGTATTCTCCTGTTTGTTGGCGTATCAGTTTGAGGTTTCGGGATCACTGTCCTCACCAACCTTTCCCTAGCAAAGCTGTCAGTAGACTTACCTCAGAGGGAAGCTTAAAGTAACCCAGGGCTCTGAGCTTCCCAGTTCAGTTTCCACACAGATGAAAGTGGAACAGCATTTAGCGCACAGTGATCTCCTGTGTGCGTGCCATTACTAGATCAGCCTTGGCCAAACTTCCAAATTAGTACTTTTTGGATAGGCTGAGTCAGAGGCAACAGCTGCTGCTACTGAAAGGATGAAAAATGAATCAGCTGCAAAAGGCTCATTAGTGAATGAAGGGGGCCTAGCAGGTCAGAGCTTTAAAGTGACTTGCCTAGTGTATCAAAACTCAAAAATTCTTACTTCAGAGATTCCCATGTCCCTTTGGAATTTAGGACTGCCTCTTGAGCAGATTCATGACTCTGCAATGATCTGTGTCAAGTCTCAGAATAAACCATAGCAGAACTGGGGTTAGAAGGTGGGCATGGGCTGGCCTCTTGGGTAAGGGGAAGCCTATTGTTGTGTTGTTTGGTGATGTCTGCCTGAGTTCCACCTCACAGTGGAAGGGAAGCAATGTAGAACACTACTGCTGTTAGTGTTACCAGCCAGGTGATATGTGCCATCCAGAGCTTGACTGGCCATGCTGGAGTCCACAACAGGGACATATTGTGGGAAACTGCCATAGCAAGAACTTCTAAGGCCTTATTGAAGAAAGAAACCTAATTGCTGTACTAGGCTGAAGTTTCAGGAGTGGAAGTGTTTTATAATCATATGGAAATCCACAAGAAAGTTAAGCCTCCTGAGGCACTGCTAAATTGAAGGCCTCCTGTCACTTTACTGGTAGAGATGAGTTTTGCTCTTCTGTATCCTGAAGGTATGTCCTCACCTAACATCAGTAGAGGGGCTATATTTATTTCAGTCAGGCCTTAACAGACCAGTCAGTGCAGATCAGTCATCTCTGTGGTATCAAAACCTGGTGTCCAAAATCAGCATGAACATCACATTATGCTGAACAACATAGTTATGCTTTTTCCTATACTGTCTCATTGTTTTTGCTGAAGAGTCATGTTTTTCATGATGCCAGAGGCCCACGTGTGTGTCAGACTTTTATCCTAAAAAAACACCCTTGGTGTATTACTGTATGCAAATTAAAAACCCACCTAGGAACAAAGAAACAACAGGGTATATGTGCAGGTTACTCCTGGGACCAGTTTTTAATTTTGTAGGATTTTGGGAACAAGTGATCAGGACAACATGACAAATCAAAGTTGTGTGATATAAGTAAGTTCCTGCACAGCTATCTGTTCCTTTTTTGTAAGACCATCAAATTATTTTGACAGTTCTTATTCTTTTTAAATATTCTTTTCCTTGTTGCAATATAAAGTAAGATTTAGAATTGAAAGAGCTGTCAGTGAGAGGAAGAGAGGCCCCAGTGATTGTTAGCTGCCTTTGCCCCATGTGGCAAACACTTTTGCACCCTTTATATTTCCTGATAATCAGAATTTCAAACAAAAACCCATATGCAGCTGTCTTAGAGAGACCCTCCTAATCCAACTTTTGAAGGGGGAGGAATCCACAAGGCTACTTACAACAGTGGGCTTTGGGTTTCAAAAGCAGAATCTGGGACCCTGCTCATTATACAAAGTGTTATTACAACGCTTGCTTATTTCCTTCTTGGAACATGTGGAAGTAATTACGGAGGAGTTGGAAGAAGGCACAGGGAGGCTGGAAGCGGCCTTGGAAAACAAAAGCAAATGAAATGTGGGCCACTTGGAAAGCTGTGCTGTGCCCATAGGTGAGAGCAGGTTTCTGTATCACGTTGGCTTTTCTGGGGCCACTGTATTGCTGACTCAAGTGGAGCCCAGATGCAAATTATTTATGCTGTCCTGGCAATATGGGATGCTGTAAAGTACTGGTCATTTGGTCTTCATCTTTACTGGACCTGAGCAAGCTTCGTGAGCTTCCACATACATCAACAACAGTTTTAATTTATTTATACATGTGTGTGTCTGTGTGTGTGCGTGTGCAACTATAAGATTACTTTATCAGAAGATCTTAAAAATATTTCTGCAGTTGTTCTGATTTGTTTCTTCCTCCTTGTTAATGTTTCCCAAAATAATTTATCAATCCTGGCTTTGTTTAAAAGCACCAGGTTTTTGTCTTATAATTTGGTGTTATCCTGATGTTCAGGATGCCTAGTGCGGATGAGAGCCCCACTGCAGCCAGCCCTGTACAAACATAACGCAGAGCCAAGTCTGAAAAACTTGGCAGTGTTAGTCTCGGAGCCTGTCAGGCTGAATCATTTGAGAATGTATCTGAGGGGACCACGTTACAGGTGGGCCTGTTGCAGGGAAAATAATACAGTTGTCATAGTGAGTAGCATTCTTCTGGGGAGGCAGATCTGCTGCTGGAGTGCAGTTGTGTTTGGGTTGCTGCTTTCTGTCGCAGAAAGCTTCCTTTCGCACTTGCGGTTTTTGTAAGCCCTGGAATTTGTGTCTTGGTTTTTCAACTGCCTAGCATACAGCAAAGTCTGTCCTGTTTTGGAAGGGGAAAGAAAGGTATAAAACTTTATTTTTCTGCTAAAATTTCAGTGGGAGTGGGAGTTGCTTATCTGAAGCAAGGCTTTCTAAGGGACATAGAGAAGTACATTTTATATCTAGACAATCTGTATCACTGTAGAAGCACCAGTGGCAGCTTCATATAGCCTAAACATTTTGACTCTTGTAAAATGTAAATATAATTTGCATTTTAGAGCAAGCTTTGATGCTAATGGTTTTTATTTTAGGAGAGAGATAAACTACTGGGGAAAAAAAATCATATTTCTAATAGACAGACAAGACCCATAATTAATGTTGCACTAGGAGGCTTCCTCCATGGTTGGCTAATCACAGCTGAGCGTTAATAAGCATAGAGTTTTTTAAATACTTTTGTAACACGTTAATTAAGATAATTCAGCTCCATGTGTCTCTTGAGTTACCAGATGGTGACTGCATTGGTGGAAGGCTGCAATTAGAGTCTTTTCTTCCTTGCTTTTCCTTCCCTTGTCCTAAGGGAAAAAAAAAGAGGGGGGGGGAAGAAAGGCAGCTTTGGTGTGTATGGGATGACTGTGAGGGGTGCCTGTTACTGTACACATTGTAAATGCTTGTGTCTAATTATATAAATGCAGAGCTATATGATTGTATATACAAATCTCTTTGCTTTTGTTCTTCTCATTTACTCACATTATGATATAAAGAAAAATAAGCCTCCTCTTCAGAGTATGCCCTTGCTGGGGAAACTGCAATTTCCCTGTGAAGACTCCAGTCCTGCTCAGTTTGCTCTTCTGTCGTTGACTTCAGAGTAAGCAGCATCTGGAGCCAGTAAAGACAGAGAGCTTATTTTTCAGTGGACTTTGGCTTCTGCTTAATACACAGAGCCCAAAGAAGGTTATGTTTTGCAGTGTGTTTTTAGGGAGGCTTAAAATATTTTAGGGGCAGAGTCGGTGAGAAGTGTGTGTGCTCACAATGGAGGCCTTTTAGTGACTTCTGCCTTCTGTAAGTTAAATATAAAGAGGTCCTTTAGCCTCAGCTGTTGTGACTGGGCCCCGCCAGCAGCTGCTGGATCCCTCTGGGAAATGATCCATCTGCTCATGTGCTAGAGAAAGCCAGAGTGCTGAAAAGGAAGAGGTTCAAAATCTGTTCTCCTGTTTCCAGTCCCCATCTCCACCCCAGAAATTACAGACCAGTGGAAAACCCGGGCATCTGGTAATCTGTGTTTTATGGAGTAAATGCTGTCTCCAGCTAGAAACACACCAAATTCTCAACTGTTGCCAGCTGGCAGAGGACAGCTTCAGTCTGGGTCCCTTTTTAGATCTTGTATCTGCAGCTACTGTATTTGTATAGTTAAAATACAAAGGTTAGCAGACTTGTGGGCAATAAACAAAAAACCCCCACCAACACCCTGAGCTACCTGAAAGGAGGAACAAAGCATGCTACACCTCAACTGGGAGTGACCCACTTGTCCTCTAGGGATAAGCCTTTCTAATGACTGTAGGAGGCATTTGTGTTGGAATTTTGTTCCATGGGCTAAAAAATGTCCCCAAGATGCTGGAAGAGGGTAAAATCTCAAATATTATTCCCAGAGCAGGTCATTGTTGTGCTTCACAGAGCCAGGCTGCCAAGTGAGATTCTGGTCTAAAGAACGTGGCCCTTTGTGTTCAGCACAAACCTGCTGTTACAAGCAGTGACTGTCCCTGAAATACTTGGTGAGCCATTTCCTAACCTAATACTAATTCCTGTTCTCTGCATGGGGAGGACAATGCAGGAGCAGGGGGTGCATAGTAAGAAGCTGCTGTGCTGAAAGCTTTTGAGCGTATCCATGCAAACATGGTTAGGTGGAAATCTGAAGATATTTAGCACTCAGAAATGGAGCTGGCTCTCATACTGGGGAATGTGGGTGGAGGTGACTGCTTTTCTATCTACCAGTAAAGCACATCCCATGGGGCCTCTGGTGGTCTAGTGGTTAGAGTGTCTGACTCTCACCGCTGCGACCCGGGTTCGATTCCCGGCCCCCTGGGCAGGTGGAGCTCGTTAGCCGTGGAAGGCAATCCACCTAAGAGAAGGTCACTCTAAACAAACCTACATCCTGGGGACCTCACTGCCACTGTCCAAGCTTTGCTCGGCCCCGGCAGATGAACCTCAGGACTAAAGGGTGGGCTCAGTTCAGCGCACGCTGTGTCTCACCTAAAAATCCACTGCGCAGGCTGGAAGGGTTAATGACCTTTCCCAAATCTTCGCTCGCGAAGACTGGCCATTATTATTAAAGCACATCCCCCTGTCATTGCTTTCTCAACAGGAAGGAAGGTGTGGGTGGGGCGCAGCAGTGCTGTTGATCAAAACTTATCAAGGTGCCTTTTCTCTGCAGACCAACTGTCTCGGAAGTGGTTTTTGCTTTGGTAAAAGATGGTCTTTAGTTGAGGAAATTAATCTAAAAGGGGTATGAAATGGTAACAGACTTGCTTCTTACTAAAACCAAATTGCTGCTGAGGGAGGGGCTGCCAAAAGCGGCTTCTGCTGTTTATAGGCTGGTTTGTATGCACAAGGGAAGAGGAAAATCAAGGATGTTGCCTGTCTGGATTTCACACTGAGAGCAAAGCTGGCTAGTCATCTTCCCTCATCATCCCCCACTGCAGAAAACTTGTGGAGCCAAACACCAGTCCTGCCTCAGGCAGAAGAAAATATTGTGTGACTGAAGGCCCTGGTTTAAGGAGAAAAGTTCCTGACTGGAAGAGAAACTTGTGGAATTTTTTTGTTCTGCAGTCACAGTGTCACTGCAGCCATGGTGTTTTTCCCCTGCTTGCCCAGAGAATGACACAGCAGGAGGTTTGGGTTACAGGGACATGACAGATAGCTGCATGTTGTTTGAATAAAATAGGTGTATATTTTTTTTTTAATCT